GGAAACCCTGTACAGGGTCGCTATGAGTTGGAACCGACTCCATGGCACACAGCCACAATGTGCAGGGAGTCCTGGTGTGGCACCGGACTGCAAGGTCAGTTTGAACTGCAAAGTCAGTGGGTGGTTCAAGCTCACCAGCCACGTCTCGGAAACCCCATGCAGGATCGCTCTGGGCAGGAACTGACTCGATGACAGTTAACAAATACAACAATATGCAGATACAACCTTGATTGCTAAAAATGAAGAGGATTCAAAGTACTCACTGATGAAGATCAGAGACCACAGCCTTCAGTATGGATTGCACCTCAATGTAAAGAAAGCATACATCCTCACAATTGAACCAATCAGTAACATCATGATAAATGGAGAAAAGATTGAAGTTGTCAAAGACTTTGTTTGGCTTGGATCTACAGTCAACACTCATGGAAGCAGCAGTCAAGAAATCAGATGACGTGTTGCATACACAAATCTGCTGCACATGACCTCTTTAAAGTGTTCAAGAGCAAAGATATCATTTGACTCTGTCTTAGGTCGGGCTTTCTAGAGAAGCAAAGCCCGTGAAACATATATGTTGTTAAGTGCCATTAAGTCGGTTCCGACCCATAGCGACCCTGTATAGGGTTTCCAAGGAGTAGCTGGTGAGCTTGAATTGCTGACCTTGCAGTTCAAATGACTTTGCACTCCGGTGCATTAACCCACAGTGCCACACCGGGACTACACAAGTATGTACGTGTGTGTGTATACACACACACACACACACACACACACACACATATATATCTATATATGTTATGTGCTGTGGAGTAGGTTCTGACTCATAGCGACCCTGTACAGGGTTTCTGAGGCTGTAAATCTTTACGGGAGCAGAAAGCCTCATCTTTCTCCCGCAGAACAGCTGGAAGTTTCGAACTGCTGACCTTGTGGTTCGCAGCCTGATTCATAACCACTACGCTACCAGAGATCCTTTATGTATATGTATATGTAGAGAGAGAGAGAGAATAGAGAGAGAGTTCATTATCAAGAAGCATCTCACAGCTGTAGAGTCCCAGGTCTCCAGCAGAGGGGTGAGAGTCCCTCCCATGTGTTCATTATATTGGGAGCAGGTCACACACCCAAAGAAGCACCCCTTCAATTGATTGGCTATTCATAGATGCTCATCATAGAGCTAATTATGCCGGTATTAGGTTTCATTACCATGGGAATAAGCACATCCCTACTGCTAACCTCTGGAAATCCTGGCCTAGTCAAGTTGACGCAAAACCCTAACCATCACAATGACTCAGGTGTGCCTGATAGCCGTTTGTGCATGGCAATAAGGAAGACAGTAGAATTGATGCATTTCAATAATGGTGCTGAAAAATATTGAAAGTACCACGGATTGTCCGAGAACAAACAGATCTGTGTTGGAAGAGGTACAGCCAGAATACACTTTGGAGACAAGGATGGTGAGACTTCAGCTCTCATACTTCGGACATATTATTAGGTGGGACCAGTCCTTGGAGAAGAGTATCATGTTTAGTAATGTGAAGAATCAACAAAAATGAGAAAGACCCCCTAGGAGATGGATTAACACCATAGCAGGAGCAATGGGCTCAAGCGTAACAAAAATTGTGAGGATAGCATAGGACTGGTTTTGTTCTGTTATATATATTAGGTCAACATGAGTTGGAACTGACTCAAGGGCACCTTGTTGTTGTTAAGACCTTGTTGTTGTTAAGTGCCATCAAGTTGGTTCCGACCCATAGCGACCCTTTATAGGGTTTCCAAGGAGCAGCTGGTGAGCTTGAACCGCTGACTTTGTAGTTCAAACAGCTTTGCAGTCTGGCGCTTTAACCCACAGCGCCACACCAGGACTCCAAAGGGCACCTAGTAACAATAATAAAGGGTGGGAAGTAGAATCTCTCAGTAGGTTTAATTTTCATTTCCTTCATGACTAATGGTAGTGAACATCTCTACATGTATCTAATATTTGCATATCTTCTTTTGTTAAGAGTCTATTCAAGATTTTTGCCCATTTTTGTTTAGTAAGTCACGAATAGGGCTGCAAATCTCACGGTCAGCAGTTCAAAACTACCAGCTGCTCCGTGGGAGAAAGATGAGGCTTTCTGTTCCTGTAAAGATTTACAGCCTCTGAAACCCTGTACAGGGTCGCTATGAGTTGGAACCGACTCCATGGCATGTAACAACAACAACAGCAGGTCACATGACATGGATACATGTTGAGGGGAACTATATTTATCAGCACACAATGGTGATGGGAGCTGATATGTACTGGCACACTCAAAGGAGCCGTCATGGTGTAACGGTTTACACATTGGGCTGCTAACCACAGCCATTCGAACTCATCAGCCACTGTATAGCAGAAAAGGCAGCTTTCTGCTCCCATAAACATTCACAACTTTGGAAACCCTAGATAAGGGTGCTTTGCGTTTGAATTGACTCTACGTGGTGCGTGGATATATTCTAAATGGTCTTAAAATATAATCATTTCTGCAGTCTGTCCATGGAAAACAGAAAGATTCTGAAATGTGGAAAGATCTTGCATTTGTGAGATCTGATAGCTTTAAAGTACGTCATGATGCTTGAAGTGGAATTGTATCTTTCCCACTGATTAAGGGGCAGACCTTTATGATTAGAAGGTAGAGACAAGCTCTCACTGAGTTTGCCTAGGACTGAGCCAGGCACCAAAGCTGTGTCATGCATGTTGAAGCAAAGTTTTCTATTTCTGTATCTGACATTAGATAGTGTCATAGAAAATACAGACACATCAAGTATTTTTGAGTTTGGAATGTGGAAATGTGTTATATAATGCATCCTAGGATGTGCTCTAGAAATAGAGCTGAGTTCATTGTACTCATTTGCAGCTGTAGGTCCATACCATAGCTATAGCACTCTTTAGGCCTGGTTGCTGTTGTTATGTGCCGTAGAGTCGGTTTTGACACATAGAGACCCTGCACAGGGTTTCCGAGGCTGCAAATCTTGACGGGAGCAGAAAGCCTCATCTTTCTCCCGCGGAATAGCTGGTAGTTTCGAACTGCCGACCTTGAGGTTACCAGCCCACTTTCTTAACCGCTATGCTACCAGAGCTCCTTTTAGGCCTGGAGGTGCGTCTGAATCAACCGTGTGTTTTCACAAAATTTCTTGACCATTTCAGATCCACTATGTCAGTTTCTTTGTCAATCGTACATGGCACAATTTGAGCAGAGGCTCTTGCTCTTGGTGATTGTGACTTGAGCCTTCTTTGTGAACCGTGGACCTAAGCCATAGGCAGGCCAGACTGTCCTGAAGCCCAAGAAAAGGCCAACATCCCAGCCTGTTTCCTACGAGGAGTTGAAGCAGCTGATGTAGACAATATGTTATCTCCAAGCAACCTTTTATTGCTATTACTTTCTAAGGTTTAAACAATTAACAAGGATGCCTTTTCTTCTGAAAAACAGTCAGGAACAGGGGCGGGAGGGATCAATATCTGCCAATAGCAAAAGGGGTTAAGGAGCCGCCAGCAAATCCCCTGTGCTGCGATGCGCGCACACCTCCGCTGTATCCGTGCACGAGCACGCACCGCACACGCGCAGTCGCTTCATTCAAGGTGTCTGGCGTTGGCGGCGCCGTGCGTGGTAAATGGAGTGGGTGCTGGCAGAAACGCTGCTCGCTCAGAGCAGGGACCCCCGCGTCCTGCTTGGGGCGCTGTGTCGAGGAGAGGCGTCTGTGGAGCGCGTGGAGACCTTGCGGTTTCTTCTCCAGCGGCTAGAGGACGAGGAGGCGCGCGGCAGCGGCAGAGACGCGGGCGCGTATCCTTCGGCGCAGTTGCAGGAGGCTGCAAGCGAGGCTGCGGTCGGGTACCTAGTGCCGCTATTGCGGGGCCGCGGCCCGGAGCTACCGCGCCTCCGCCGCCGCGTCCTGAGGGCGGCCGCCGGGGGCCTACGCTCGTGCGTCCGCCTTACCGGGGGCCAGCAGTGGGCTGCCGCGCTGGCCGAAGAGGCCCTGCGCGACCTGTCTGCTGTGCAGCCACATGCCCCGGACGCCTCCTGCAGACCCGGCGCGTCAGGCGCCGAGGCGGCCGTGGAGGTGCTGGTGGCCCTCGGCCCCTGTCTGAGGCCGCGTGAGGATGGGGCGCTGCTGGAGCGGATGGTGCAGACCGCCCTGGCCCTGGCGCTAGGCGAAGCCGAGACCGGGCCGGCGGAGGAGGTGGCGGCGTTGGCGGCTGGGAGGCTGCTGCCGGCGCTGGGTCGGGTCAGCGAGGATGCCCTGCGGGCCGTGTGGGCGGGACTGCGGGCTGGGGCCTCGGACCCGGGCGCCGGACTGCTGGATGTCGGCCGCCGGCTGCAGGTGCTGAGCGCCCTGGCTGAGAAGCTGCTGCCGGAGAGACCCGAGGCAGGCGTGGACGCCCGGCGGTGCTGGCATTTCTGGAGGACCGTGCAGGCGGGACTGGTCCAGGCCGAGGACGCGCTCACGCGCAAGAGGGCTCGCTATGTGCTGCTCAGGGCGGTGGAGGTGTCGGCGGAGCTGGGGGATAACTGCGCGTGTACGGCCCGGAATGGAAACGGTACTTACCTCTGCCCCAATCCCACACTTAGTTTACCTCCCGGGTGGGCGAAGGCTGCGACGGGCCCACCTGCTTCTGAAAACCAGCTCCACGACTTTTGCAGAATTGGCTTATTTCACGTGGCCCCTCTAACGTGTGAACACCTTGGAACCTCTCCTCGAAATGCGTTCTGAATGTGACACTAATTACTACAATTTTGAACAGTCTGCATTTCCTAAACTTTCTAACCTAGAGCAAGGTAAAATACTGCCCGTGTGAAATAATATGGCTAAGTCTATAGAGAATGTTTAGACCCAAATTTCGACTCCGTCTGGTAGATCCCTTCCTGTAGAAAAGAAAGAATAACATCCATCAGATTGAAAGGAAACGTTTTGATTGTTATGGGCAGTTTGAAATAAGCGTTGATAAAGCCATCGAGTTAGGTGCCGTTGGGCCTGTACCGATCATAAGGGTCCTGTGCACAACAGAGGGAAACCCTGCCAGCTCCTTTGGCAACATCATAATCTACGCATGAGCCCATTGCTGCCGCCACTGGGCGCCATCTGGGGAGGGGTCTTCTTGTTCCCCGACCCTTTGCTAAGCATGATGTCCTCCAGGGACTGACCCTTCCTGACAGTATGTCCCAAGCATGAGAGACGAAGTCTTGCTCTCCTGGCTTACAAGAGCACTCTGAATGTACTTCTTCCAACACAGATTTGTTTGTTCTGTTGATAGTCTATGGTACTTTCAGTATTCTCCAGCACTATAACTAAGTGCATCAATGCCACGGCCTTCCTTTTTCCTTGGCAGTAGCTATTTAGGATATGGATTTATTAATACTTGTTTAACATAGGGTACTTACTGCCACGGACTTGATAATGGATTCATACTATTCCCAAAATGGGGTTCTCGAGGCTATTATATTGACAGGAGCAGATGGTCTCATCTTTTCTCCCACATAGCCCAGACCTTGTGGTTAACAGTCCAGTGCTTTATGCACAGTGCCACCAGAGCTCCGTATATTATCAATATATACTTCAGGTTTTATATTTTGAGCTATAAATATTCCATAATAAAGTTTAATAGACTTTATTATAGGAAAAAGGAGCTGAAATAACAAGCCCTCTCTTCAACTTGGTCTGTTGATGTTGATTGCTTTGACAAGGATACTTAAGTCGTCTTAAATTCATTTTTGAGTTTTCAAAGCCCAAAACAGATTGGTGAAAACTTGTCTCCATAGCGAGAAAACTTCTTTAACTGTAGCTGGCAATTCATTTGTTGTCAGTAGCAGTTTCTGTGTGGTAGGAGTTGTAAGTAGGTTATTAGATTTTCATATACGTTTAAAAATTAGATGATGTTATGTGCTGTGGACTCCGTCCTGACTTAATGACTCAGTTAGTTCCCAGGGAGCATCTTGGTGGGTTGTAACCACTAACCTTGTGGTTAGCAGTCCAGTGCTTACAGCACCACACCAGATAGTACATATTTTAATAGTCCACAAATAGGTGATCAGTGGGTGAGGGTTTTCACTGGAAAAAAAATTCCTGTTAAACATGCACTTTAAGAGCCAGTCATTCTGCTGAGTGTAAGGCTAAGTTACCTTGTCATGCTTCCCCTTCCCCACATTCACTTAATGTATTTCAGAAAACAACCACTTGTAATTGATTAGTTTGATACTTACCGCTTTGCCTTGAAATAATGCTACCTATATAATACTGGTTTGGGTTATAATTTGGTTAAGTGGATATTCAGCATTTACAAAAGGATGACTTTGTAAATGTTGTTTGAAGTTGGGCTATGTAGTAAACTGTGATTATGTTTTCTTCCCTAAAGGCTTTTCAAGATTATTCCATGTAAAAATTGTTGTTAACGTTAAGTGCTGAATAGAGTTTTCAAGGTGGGTTTGACCTGCCTATTTTGTGGTTCGCAGTCCAGTGTTCATCCTATAGTGCCACACCAGGAGTCCATTTAAAAATGAATATATCACTAATTCAGCCCCAGTTGTTTACATTTTCACAAAGTCACTAGGTATTTTGTAAGTTTTATGTGGTGTCCTGGTGTGGCATTGGACTGCAAGATCTGTTTAAACTGCAAGATTGGTGGTTCAGACCCACCAGCGGCTCCTTGGAAACCCTATATAAGGTTGCCATGAGTTGGAACCGACTTGATGGCACGTAACAACAACTTAGCAACAAATGTTCTTGAAGAAGTGCCCTTATGTTCGCTTACATGCTCAAATCATTTCTTGTTACTACTGCCTTTGCTTGCTGCACAGCTGGCCTCATAAACCTCTGTCTTCACCATCATCCTAGGTGTATTCCTTTTACTTGATTTCTGTGTCGAATCTCTTGTTTTCAGTATTCCACACCTTCAGTTTCGTTTGTTCACATGTTCTGTTGGAGTGCATTTGTCAATAGTTTCCTGAGATAGAAAATTGTAAGATCACACATGTCTGATAATTTCATCAGTGGATGTTTTTATTTGTACTATTTCTATCTGATACTTTATTACTATAGTTTACATCCCTGAAAATCTATGCCTTTTTATGCATGTCAGCATTTATCACTAGATCCTTTAACATACCAGGGTAAGTTTAAAAAGTATTGCTGTAAAATCGTAGAAACCTTTGTTAAAAATACCAAAACGTGCAACTATCATTTCTCGGCATATCCTCCACATAGGACTATGCACCTTGGAAGGCAGTGTTTCACTCTCTCGAACCCTTCCCTGAAGAAGTCTGAGTTGTCCAATTTGCACCATGTCAGATGGCAGTTTTGGCATTCTCAAGGGCTTCAAAATCTTCCTCCTTTTAAATGTTCTTTGAGTTTGGGGAACAAAAAGATTATTAAAGGGGCAAGTTCATGGCTATTGAGTGGATTAAGTAAAATTTGCCAACAAAAAATTTCTCTTACCACAACCTTTGCTACCCTTAAAGAATGAGCAGGTATGTTGTGTAAAACAATTTTCTGCACGACTTTGCTGGTGTTTTACTCATCCATGCTGTTTTCAGTTCTGTTAAGACTCCTCTATAATAAGGCCCATGATTGTTCTGTGACCTTGAAGAAACCACTTTGGGATCCAGAAAAAGTTGTCATAATCTTCTCAGTTGGTCTTACTGCCTTTAATTTAACTGGTACAGCAGATCCCCTCGGAAATGACTATTTGGACTGAATCTTGCTCTCCCGATTATATTGGTAGATCCAAGACTTACCCTGGTTATGATTCTTGGTGTAAAATTGTTTTCATGAACATTGATCTTGGTTAAAAGGCAGAGGGAAAGATAAACTCTTTTGAGCTAGCTGATCTTCCCACAACTCTTTAGACAAAGCTGTCTGAGGCCAATCTGTTCACTTAAAATTGAAAATGCCGAACCACATGAGACTCCAGCTATTGCATCAGTGGTAATTCTGTGGTCTTCCCCCACCAGTTTCTGAACTTCAGCCAGTTTCCTCATTGGTTGAGGTTGATGATCTTCCCTCTCATCTCATCTTTGAGGTCTTAAAAGTCTTGTTGTTGTTAGGTGCCCTTAGTCGGTTCTTACTCCACAGAAGGAAACGCTGCCCGTTCCTGCGACAGCCCCACAATTGTTATGTTTGAGTCTACTGGTGCTGCCACTGTGTGTCAGTTCATCTCTTTGGGGTCTGGGGGGGGCCTTCCTTTTTATCTGCCCCCCTCCACTTTACCAAGCATGTTGTTTTTCTCCATGGACTAGTCACTCCTGACAACACGTCCAAAATATGAGAGAGGAAGTCTTATCCTCTCATCTAAGGAGCATTCTGGGTGGAAAACCCTTGGTCCAATTAAAAATTTGCTTTATGTGGGGCAGCATTCTGATGAATTTATTGCAGAGCTTCAGTGATATGGTTATGTTAAAATCTGATACTAACCTTGACCTCAAAATCATTTTTTTCCTCCCAGAAAATGTGTCCTTAGCTTTGAAGGCCCCCTGGCGTAGTGGTTACGAATCAGGCTGCTAATCTCAAGGTCAGCAGTTCGAAACTTCAGAGGTTCTGCAGGAGAAACACAAGGCTATCTGCTCCCGTAAAGATTTACAGCCTCAGAAACCCTATACAGGTCGCTATGAGTTGGTACTGACGCCACTTGGCACATGACCACCAACCAACCAAGGAGATGACGTATCTTACTGAGAGAATGTGTCTGTAGCCATTGCAGAGACTGTTTACACATATTCTGTCTGAGTAAATATGCAAGGTCGGTGGTTCAAGCTCACCAGCTGCTCCTCGGAAACCCTATACAGGGTCACTATGGGTTGGAATCCACTCGACGGCACTTAACAACAACAACAAATATACTGGAACCCTAGCAACAATACTTTGTGACTTACCCTCTTGGAAATCCTACGTAGGGTTGCTCTGAGGTGGAACCGACTCGATGGCACTTAACAATAACAACTTAGAATTAATCATTTTTTTCCACATCTACACTTGGACCTTCTCTAGGTCTGGTTTGGTCTCTATATTATCTGTTTGTTGACAGCGGGTGTTTTTATTATCTTGTTCTTTCCTGTCTTACAAAATTTTAGATATTATGTGTAAAAGAACAGTAGCAGTTGAAATAATTATTTATAGAAGTTATTCGTTTAGGGCAGGGAGGGGTTGTTGAGCTAATCTAGTCTGTAGTTGAGCTGGGTTTGGTTTTATGTTGGTATAATTAGCTTCAGTGCACTACAGTCTTCAACTTCTTCCAGTAATGGAGTGTTGCTAACTTGTGCTTACTGTGAAGGACCACATGACTTCTCTTAAGGCCCTGGGTACCTTTTCCACAGATGGGATCTGTCTCCATGCCTTTGCCTTTCCCTCAGGGGTAGGGCATGGGGCGTTTCATTTCTCCTCCTGAGCTTCAGTCTTAGACCCAGTGCATTTGAAGCTTGATTGGAGCCTTTTTGCTGTTTGTGCTCCTTCCCAGGGTCAAACAGCCTCTGCATCCTGTTTAGTGAAGTGGGAGTTTTCTTATTGCCCCTGTGGTCAGCTGAATTCTGTTGTGTACGTGGTAGGTCTTGGACACCAGTTTCCTGCCCCGATTCCATCAGTAACAGGCCGCTGCTTTGTGCCAGAGCAGATTTCTGAGCTTGAGCGGTTCCCTTCCCCTCCTGTAGCAGCAGATGGCCTTTGCCTAACGGCAGTTCAGCATTTGGAAGAAAAGTTATCTTTCTAGAGGCACCTAACTTTGTCTGGTATTAGGATAGGGGCAGGGGTGAGAATGTGGGAGGGTTTCCTGCCCCTCCTATCAGATTAATTCAGATAACTCAAAGAAGTTCAGTTTGAGGACTAAGGTGCGCCAGACCCAAGCCATGGTATTTTCAGTAACCTCATAAGCATGCGGAAGTTGGACAGTGAATAAGGAAGACCATAGAGGAATTGATTCACTTGAGTTACGGTGTTGGAGGAGAATACTGAAAGTCCCATGGACTGCGAGGAGAACAGATCTGTGTTGGAAGAAGTACAGCCAGAGTGCTCCTTGGAGGCCAAGATGGTCAGACTGTCTCACATACTTTGGACATATTGTCAGGAGGGACCAGTCCCTGGAGAAGGATATCATGTTTGGTAAGATAGAGGGTTGGAGAAAAAGAGGAAGACCTCCAGTGAAATGGATTGGCAGAGTGGCAGCAGCAGTGGGCTCAAATGTAGCAACAATGATGAGGTTAGCTCAGGACCGGACAGTAGTTCATTCTGTTGTGCATAGGGTCTGTTGTGCATAGGGTCACTATGAGTCGGAACTGACTCGATGGCACCTAACAACAACAACAATTAGATAACTATCCAGGGTACAGGAGGTTCCCTACGTGTTGCCCGTGCAGTTGACCATTTTGTACTCTGGCAGGAAGCGGATGACCTTCTCCCAGTTGTCCCTCTCTACTCTCAAACCTTCACAGGCCCTGTCTACCGGCATTACCCAGGGTCTGCTGGCCCGCCTTGTTCTTTGTCCTGGGGAGGCCTGTGGAAAGAGCTAGTTCAGAGAGTGTAGGATTCTCTGGGGTGGTTTCTCAGGGTTTCTAAGCTGTCAAGCTTACTCCTGCTACTGAAAAACTTGTCTATGTTTCTGTTTATTTTTACACTGTCTTTTTGGCCTTCCTCTATGCTGACTTGGTATTCAGGTTTCTTGAGTCTTGGATTTTATCTGCTTTTCAGATTTTAAATTTCGTTCCTGTTGTTCAGTCCCCTGTTTCCTCCATTCTATGGAGTTTTACCTTAAAAAAATAAAAACATATCTTACCTCTACAGTTAGGTTCTGAGGGAGATAAAATAAGAGTTTATTTGGGCAGATCTGCCATTTTATCCAGAACTCCAAATTGTAATTTTAATTAATTTTTTTTCTTTGGAAATCTTTGTTAGCCCTAGCAAGCCACTTCTTTTCTTGGCTTTGGCACAGTGGTGTACCTTCCATTCTTTGAGAGTATAAATTTAGTAATAATGCTATTATTTTAGGAATTATTTTCATTAAGAAATTTATGATATTTGCAAAAGATGGAACTAATTTTTTTTTTTTTTTTTTTAAACTGTGTCAGACCCAAGTCTGTTTTGGTGGCATGAGAAGAAAAAAGATGAGCTGCTAAAGTTTTGGGAAAACTATATGTTAATTATGGAAACTCTAGAAGGAAATCAGGTAAGCATTTTCATATTTTTAGCAAAGTCTCTATAGATGCAATTTTAATATGTTTAAAACATTCTGAATAAGCAGTACAAAAGACCCACTTGGATATTATTGTTGTTAAGTGACATCTAGTTGGTTTCAACTCATTGTGACCTTGTATAGGGTTTCCGAGGAGGGTTTGAACTGCTGACTTTGTGGTTCTCAGTCCAGTGCTGATCCTAGAGTACTACACCAGATATTAGTGTTGTTGTTAAGTGCCATGGAGTCACTTCCGACTCATAGTGACCCAGCATAGGGTTTCCGAAGAGCAGTTGGTGAGTATGAATTGCCGACCTTGTGATCCAGGGCTTTAGCCTGCAATGCCACACTGGGGCTCCACATCAGAAAGAACATGATAGAATTCAAACAGTTTGTTTTCCAGCACAGATTCCATTTCAGATTTAATGTAATTGTTTTAGGAACTGAAATCCTGCTTGCTTTCCTTTGGCTTGGTGGTGGTAGTTGTGTGACGTGAAGTCACTTCTGACTCCTAGTGACCCTGTATGGGGTTTCTGAGGCTGTAAATCTTTCCAGGAATAGACAGCCTCAGCTTTCTCCTTAACATTTGGCTTAGGTTATTATTTTTACAGATTTAGTTTTTAGTTTTATTTTCCCATGAATCTTAAAGTGTTAGTTTTTAGTTTCTAGACTTTGTTTATGAAAAATAAGGAAAAAGTGCATACTTCAGGGAAACTTTTACGTAAAGCGATTCTGAAGAATTTTAAAGGTGAATTAAAAAGTAAATAATTACCTTTAGTTCTATAGTTTTTCTTTCTTTTTTAGTTCTTACATGTGAACTCTCATGTTTCTTTGAGCTTTATAGTTCTGAGTTGTTGTATTATCGAATGCCATCGAGCTGGTTCTGACTTACAGTGACCCTGTATGGTTTCTGAGGCTGTAAATCTTTACGTAAGCAGAAAGCCTTATCATTCTCTCATGGAGTGGCTGGTGGGCTTGAACTACTGACCTTGGGATTTGCAGTCCATTGCTTACCCTACAGAGCCACTGTGCTCCCTTACTACTGAACAGTGGGATAGATTTTTCAGTAGACTTGGCAGTTGAGAAATCATTTGTAGTTGGCAGTGAATTACTTTTTATTGAATATAGAATTTGTAATCTAGAAGGTTTTAGTTTTAAGATGATCTGACCTATTGCAATGATTCTCAACCTTTAAGGTTCGTCAGAATCACCGGGACAGCTTGTTAGAATGTAAACTGCTGTCCTCTATAGAGTTTCTGATTCCATGGGTCTGGGGCAAGGCATATGCTCCTGATCGCTGGACCATACTTTAAGAACCACTGGTATTGGAAATGTTCCCGGTCTGCACGCTGCAGATCACTGAGAGACCAGCCCAAAGGTGCACCTAGAGAGAAAGAATCACTCTTCCATGCTAAATATATGTACATGAAAGCATGAAAAACTAAGAAAAATACTTATAAATTCAAGTCAAACTTTTATGGTTTTCCTAATTAGTAGAGCTGAAAAGCCTTCATTGTGTATGGGCACGGGTCATCAGAAGTTCTTCCTTTGTAAAAGGGGGTCCTCATTAGACCAAGTCTAATTTCTCACATTTTTAGACAAAGGAACTTGGCAGGAAAAGTGAAGTGACCAAGACAATCAGTTTGCACTTTTATTTGATTATGAATTAGTGTAATCTGAGAATTGACACTCGTATTTAGATTGAATGCTGTATATTGAGTGAAATATACAGAAAATTACAAAGCCTTACTTACCTGGATTTTGATGAGAGTGTTGAATAAACTCTGTGGCCGAGGCATCTGCAGCAAAGTCAGAATTGTATGGAGCGCACTGAACTTGGAACTGGAGTAACTTGAGCAATGTGAGTCATTGGAGAAAATATTTTAGTATTTTTTTACACCTTGAAATACAATATTATCACCTCTACCTGTTTTCCCAATACTTTTGAGGATTTCACGACCTACTTTCTGATATTGATTATTTTTTTAAAAACAACAAACCAACCAAACTCATTGCTAATGACTCAATTCCACCTCACAGGAAGTGATTCTGTGTTGCTGTTGAGCTGGGTCTGACTTGGAGCAACCTGTATAGGGTTTCCCAGGAGCAGCTGATGGGCTTGAACTCTCAACCTTGTGGTTAGCAGCAGTCCAGTAATTATCCAACAGCACCGCATCAGGACTCCACAACCACTATGTTGTTGTTGTTGTTGTTGTTGTTGTTGTGAAATGCTATTAAGTAGATTCTGGCTCATAACGACCCTGCGTAGGGTTTACTAGGAGCAACTAGTGGGTTTGAACTGCCGACCTTGAGGTTAGCAGTGGTGTCCAGTGACACACCAGGACTGTGAGTGACCCTATTATTGTAACTCTAGTCTAGATTATACCCATTAGCTGCACCACACTTTATTTGATATCCCTGGATTGCTATCATTGAACGTTGGAAGAATCAGGCTCCTTGTGCCTAATTTTTACACAGGGCAAAGAGCAGAGATGAAGGGCTGTTAAAATAAATACGTGAACGTTCCCTTATGTTTTTAAAGATTAGTTTTTATTTCATACAACTTTTTTTCTTTTCTTTTCAGATCCATGTTATAAAGCCAGTCTTACCAAAGCTAAACAATCTCTTTGACTACGCAGTGTCACAGGAAAAAGGTAATGTCTCCTTTTATCTCATCTTTTCTCACACAGCTTTTCACCGTACACGAGAGATGCGTGAAGCAGTGGCAGTGACGAGGCTCAAACATGAACCAGCGGTGAGGCTGGCGCAGGCTCAGCAGTACTTCTTGTGTTGTTGGTAGGCTTGCTAGGAATCCGAACTGACTTGATGGCATCCAACAGCGGTTTGAGCCCCTTGATTTTATAAGTATTTGCTCATAATAGAGTATTTGGAAAATGACAAAAGTATAAAGAAGAAAATAAGAATTATTCTGCACTGTTGCCATCTTAGTTACCCAGTGCGGCCATAACAAAAAACTGCTACGATTAAAGGACAGAAATGTGTTTTCTCTCAGTTCTGGAGACTGAAAGTCCTAATCAGGGTGTTAGTTCCTTCGGTAGCTACAAGAATCGTTCCTTTTAGGGCGCTGCCAGCTAGAGCTTTTGCTGGTGACACTCAGTACAGGATGTGGCTGGAGCTTGGTGGCAAGGAGGTACGGTTCTTTCTTGTTCCCCAGTCCACTCCCTTGCCAGCCCAGTGGCCAGTGACATCCCACCTGCCCAGCCTCTGCTCTGCCAGGGGTCTTGCGGTGGTCATATGATCCCCTTGTCTGAAGCCTGTAAACTAGCCCTGATCTGTGTTCACACTTTCAGTCTCTCTCACACCCAGCAGGAGACAGGTAGTGAGTGCCTGAGAACACACCGACATACAATCATCAATTATAAATACAATGAAACCGCAGCAACAACAGACAATTTCAGCTTACATGAAGAAACAAGAGGGTGTTTCAAATAAGTGACCAAAATACAGTCAGAAACTATTAACACCAGAAATGGTATTGGAACTACCTGATAGGGATTGCTTATCTTCAACAGTTTGAGAGAATAATCAAGGCAACCACAGATGAAATAAAGGAAAACACAGACAAAAATTTAGCAGAATTCAGGAAATACTATAAGAACAAATTGCCAAAATAATTGAAAAATATAACATCATACAAAAACAGCAATTAGAAATCCAGATGATTAATACTAAGATTTCAGAAATAGTTAATACATTGAAAGGGCAAAGTTGAATTGATTCAGCAAAAGGCTGAATTAGTGAGCTTGAAGACAAATCTCTCAATGTTAATCTGCTAGAGAAACAATCAGAAAAAAGAGCAAAACTATCCCAAGAAAGCCCAAGATTTATGTAGGATACTATCAACAGGCTTAACCTACATGCAATTACAATTTTAGAACAGGAAGAAACTAATAAATAAATTTGAGAAAATTGTCCAAGATTTGAAGTTGAATGAACTCCAAACAGGAAAGACCCCAAAAGAAAATCACCAAGTCATAATGCAACCAAACTTTTCAAAACCAAAGACAAGGAAAGAATCCTGAGGCCAGGTAGAAAAAAAGAGGGAAATGATCTACAAAGGAGAGTTAATAAGACCAAGCACTGATTTCTCTGCAGAAACCACACAGGCAAGAAGACAGTGGGATGGTATTTATAAAGCATTGGTGAATGCACACAATGGAATACTGTGTACCTTGAAGAATGATGAGACTGTGAAACACCTCATAACCTGGGGGAACCTGGAGGACATTATGCTGAGTGAAATTATCCAGCCACGAAAGGACTGATACTGTATGAGACCATTATTGTAAAAGTTTAGGAATAGGTTCCAAGACAAAAAGAAATTCTTTGATGGTCACTAGGGGTGTGAGCCCATCGATGAACTTAAACATGACAGCAGTAGTGAGGTTGGCCCAGGACTGGGCAGTGTTTCATTCTGCTTTGCATAAGGTCGCTGTGAATCGGTACCGACTCCATGTCACCTAACAACACAACAGCGACAGGTGGGAGGGAGGGAAGAGTAATTCACTGACTGCAGGGTAGACACCTGTCAGCTCAGGTGAAGGGAGGCTAATGTACAAGAAGAAGGAGGGTGACAGAATAGTGAAGACAGGTGAAGACACAGGGAGGTATGCAAGGACTGACAGGGATGGGGGGCAATAGTGCTTCACACACAACCCTGGAACAAGTGTCCTGGGTGCAGATACATGGATTGAGACAGGATGAATGGGTAAGGGAGGAAGAGAGACCTAGATTTTTATACATATATAAAGAAATA